CCCCGTAGAACTTTTTCCCATTGTTATTGACTGTTCCATCAATCTATTATCCACCCTTTCTGTGAAGGTTGACTTTTATATTTTCCTCCAGATAACTTATAAAGATACTAAATAGCAGTATCCCTTTGGGATGGGACCTTACTAGTAAGTCGCTCGTGTTATAGCTGTTCCTTGTTTACAGTTATTTTTTGAAGTTATCACTTAGTCAATTTATGATCTTTTAAAGGTAGAGTGCATTATTTTGTATAGTGCTAAAATTTTAGTCTTGAAACCCATTATGATTGGATTTATGTGAATCAGACATTTGTAGTAGATAGTCACCATGGCCAAGTCTCCTGACAAACTTGTGATGTCATAAATCAGGGCTGTCAGACTTTATTTGAACCTGCTTGCTGGATCTGACCTGTAGGGCTTTTCATGGTCCAGACCACAGGTAGTGGCTTGTTGGTATAGCTGCTGAAGTCTATTGGTGTGAGTCTGAAACCCAGGGGGTGGACATTCCTGCCACTCCCCCCAGCCCCCAACACACGCAACTTTCTTTTGCTGTTTGAGTTGCCAGTGGCAACTAAAGAACCTGAATTTGGTGGTAAAGCAAAGAAAGTGGGTGGGGAGGCAAACTCCAGCATTTACTGCTTGAGTTCCAAAATCCTGCCAGTGCAGCAGCTCTGGCAACTGTGAGAGCTGTATCTTAATGTTGCACAGATGTTATTCAGCCAGTGAGGTACCATTTGGACATCCCTTCTATAAATATTATGTTATTTGTGGGGGAAAATTGGGGAGGAGGAGAAATAAGACTGGGGGTGGGCAGAAGAAAGGAAATGGAGGCATACATAAAGCTCCTGGTATGGGTTGGAGAAAAAAATAAGCGGTACACAGAACTTTCTATAGTTCTTCAGTATGGAGTTGCATATGCTCCGATTCCCGGAAATAATGGCTGAATGGTGTAAGAAGTTCCTATGATAGGAGAGAATGAGAGGGTGGGACATCTCTTGGAGAACATAGAGAAATGAAAAAGCTATGAAGTGTGCAATTGCTTCCTCCTTAGTTCATAAAGCACAGTATTAAGTGTTAGTAGTGTTACTTTATTTTTTTGTCTGGCTGCATCCTGTTATAACTGTTTCTTGACTTTTTTTGGCTGGGTTCAGTGTCAAACTAACCAACCTATAATGGACTGTTATTCCATTTATCTTTTAAAACATATTTGGATATTTTACATTTCCCCCACCCAGTACTCTGGGTAGGACTTGCCACTATTTCAACATCTGTAAGGAATCCATATAAATGGAGTTCATCACCCAATTCTTTTAAACTCTTTGGCTGCTTAAAAAAAAAAAAAAGTGGCGCTTTAAACTCAGTGCATCCCCACACTGAGAGCAGTGTATGCCCAGAAGAGGCAGCGCATTAGTTTGACCTGGCTTGCCTGATGTATTGATCAGACACTTTTTAGTGGGGCTTTTCTGGTGCTTTTATCTAATAGCTGATTGAATGAGCTTTAGCTAAAAGCACCAAAAAGCCCCACTGAAGTGCCTGATCTATACAGATGCTGCAGAGCTGGATTGAAGTAACGCGTTGTTTCTTCTGATAAAGAGCATTTTTGTGGGTTTAGATGTCTGCAAGCAGCCTTAGATGCAAGTTGGGTGCTCTTGCATCACAGAATGATTTGAAAAATGTTTGACATCTTGTCTCAGGATAAAAAAAATGTCCTTGTATCATTCAGTTTATTTCCAAATGCAGAACAAAAATTTGAACACATCTGCTTTTTGGTCATCAGTGTTGGAATTTGAATTTTTAATTAATGGTGTGTATATAGATCACTGTCTCGCTCTTTTTAATTCTACTGGCTGTGGATTTCTTTTTTTCATTGATGCATTCAGCTTCTCTTATCAGTTGTCTCAGTACACCAGGAATGAACTTACTCTGTCAACAAAGATTTGCTGATTCCATCAGATTTCAAAATATGCTAAAGGTCATAAGAACTGTGTACCTACAAGTCAGTTTTGATGCTGTAAATGATAAAATAAGAGCTGAAATTGGTGAATTGTGCAGAAATTAACAAGTCTATGCTGAAGCTATTTTACAAACCAGTTAACTTTTTTTATGTCTGTTTTTATTAAAATAACAAAATTGCATCCTAAAGAAGTGCCTCATGTTAGTTTGCTTCATTGTTTCCCTGCTTCCAGTGTGTGGCACATCCTGATACCAAGCTTTGCAAAGATCATGTGTGTTCAAAAAGCTTCTTGTGTGGAGCTTATCTTTGTATGATCAGTAGCAGGTGGAACATTCATCTTACGAGTTTGCCTTTTACATCTAGCGAACAACCAAAAGGTATTCAGACCAGGAACTGTAGCAACAACCCTTTTCTGGTTAGAAGTTGCAAATGACAAACCCTTTCTTTTGAATGAAGAAAGAATTAAAAGGAAGGCATTAGAGAGATTTAAATAAGAACTGTACTGTAAATTTTCACAGGGTAGTTGACTTTTGGAATAGCTTATTTAGGGATATAGTAGATTGTTTTTACTTGGTGTCTATATATTCACTATCATCAGAAAACATCTGCTGTAGGTCATATAGAAGGTATGGAGTTCATATAGAAATTGGTCAGTGGTGATATATGGCCTATGTTACCATGAGGTCAGACTAGATGACTGCAGTGGTTTCTTCCATAAATCTAATTTTTTTTCTTTCCTTTGACACTAATAATAGTCTGATCTACCTTTATGAAGAAAGCCCACTCTGGGTACATCTCAACTGGATAGTCTCCACCCAGTATTTTTAAGAAACTTTTAACTTGCCCAAAAATTGTTTTCAGGTTAATTCAGCCAAAAGCCAATCCAGCTCAAATGCCCAGCCCATCTGGATCCAGAGTAATGTTTGGGAAAGAAACAACAGTATTGGTGCTGATGGATAGTGGCCTGCTGTCAGTTGATGCAGGGCGGATATCCATTCTTTCTGCTGGAGCTCTTTGCACTCTTTGATACAGTAATTACATACCACTGTCCTCCCAGAGGGTGATGATTGGATCAAGAGGAATGTGCTCAAGTTGCAGCTACAAGTTGAAGTAGTGAGACATCAGACTCAGCTGCAAACACACATTACAAGTGAAAAATTTAAACACCTTTTGCAACTTTCCAAAAGGCTACCTGTTCAAACAAGTAATCCCTATAGAAATGTTCCAGATGTGGCTGAAGCATTCAAAAATAATACTCTTTAAATTAGATACTATTTTGGAATATTTCACTTGTTACATCTGCACGAAGGACTGTAGGAGAGTGGGACCCCTGCCAGAGCCAGGCAAACTGCCCTCCACCCAACTCAGGGAGCCCCTCAACCTATCCACTCAGCTGAAGGAGAGGTAGGGGGGAGATTCTGTTACTATGTATATTTTGTGATTAGTTAAACATTACATTGAATATCTTCAGCAAGGAAGCATTTCTTTATGTTGCAGATTCAATGCAAATTGTTTGTGTTTGATAAGAATTCTCAGTCTTGGGTGGAAAGAGGTAGAGGACTTCTAAGACTTAATGATATGGCATCAACGGATGATGGGACGTTACAATCTCGGCTGGGTAAGATGAGAGCTATGTCATAACCACAGGATGCTTCTTTGTTAGTTGGTATCATTTATTTTGGGTTACTGTGGGTTTTTTAATTATAGTAGGTCAGGAAGGAATAAAACTGAAGTGCAGGGCAAAGCCTTATAGGGTGTACCTTCTTCCACACTTGATTTAATTGGTAGATTTTTTTTTTTTTAAAGCAAAGAGGGGATCCTATTACAGACTTTTTGTATCAGTTACCAAGATGCTATTTATACCACTGCATGCAAGTTGTATGCATAAACTGAACATTTGGTAGGTAGCAGTTTATATAACATCATGTACACCTACTTTCTTAATCACATAATATTTATCTTTAGGAAAGTGCATCTCTGTAGTTTTGATTTTTATTAGAAACCTCTTCTCACAGGTTCCCTTCTGGCTTTTAGAGATAAGGTAAAGACCCAGTTTGGTCTAGGGTGTAAACTCTATCGTACTCATTTCTACAATTTAGTAGCATGAATAGCTAAATAAGAAATGAAATATGCTTGATACCAGTTCACAACATGGTAGAAGAAATCAAGACCTGTCTGGTAGGTGTCAGCTTATTGGTTTTCCCACCTGCATATTTTGTGGTAAATCAGTAATGAGGTGTATGTTACAAATATAGCTAGTTAAAGGTGCTAATATGTGTGCGGTGTTGGGCTGTGACTACTGGGGTTGTGGGGGAGAGAGAGCTACTTAGCTGTGTTTCTCATCATCGTGTGAAATGCATGTTAATGTCACATTGTTTTAAAAAAGTATGTTTACTGGGCCCAACTCATACAGGTTTGCAGTCAAATAAGGCACTAATCTGCACCAGTCTGAGATTACCTATTAGAATCGACTATGTAGAGCTATGTACAATAGGTAATGAGCCTATATTTGCTAAGGACTGGACTTCCCCATCTCTAATCTGTGATATATTGGTAGAGGCCAGCACAGCCTTTGTCCCGTGTGTGTTTTTTGAAAACTTTAATGAAGTACAATGCATCTAATTTTTCTAGGAATGCTTTACCTGTGTTCTCCCCTAGGTCCTTTCTTATTGCCAGTTTTGATACCATAAACATTCTGTAAGAACAGAAGACTCTTCTGTTTAAGAACTTTCTTTTCAGAACTTTTGTCTTTAATCTGAACTTTCTACTGTGTGCCTAAATATCCATTTTTGTCTTCTGCTAACTTTGGATGTTACTTTTAGTAATGCGGACTCAGGGGAGTCTCAGATTAATCTTGAACACCAAGCTCTGGGCCCAGATGCAGATTGACAAAGCCAGTGAAAAAAGTATCCGAATCACAGCCATGGATACAGAGGACCAGGGTGTCAAAGTTTTTCTTATATCGGTGAGTACTCTTCTTTGATTATCTTCTACCTTTGTGTCAAAAGAGTGTTTGCTTAAATTGCTATGGAGAAAACTTTTCCATCAATAAAACAACAATGAAGTTATTGTTTTCATGGACCTTCATTGGAGGGATATAAGGGGGCAGGATTAGAGGGAAAAATGAAATGTAGCTCTTGGAATCGTGAAATCTAATCACAGGATGCTCTTACTGTAAGAGCAGTGTAAGATCTAAACTGGTTCACCCATCAAAGAAAGTACAGGCCAGGCAAATATGTTTTGGATATATTGATAAAGCTACTAAAAATTCTTAGTTTGTATAGATGTATCAAAGTTCCTGTAGCCTTTATCAGTACTTGAACTTAATGACCTGAGGCATAGAGCTATGTTAGGCTATATTTTATACTTGTTTTTGGTAGAGTAGCTGCTAGTGTGGGGGGACCCCACACTTTGTCATAAGAACTGAAGCAAATAGTGTATGTTCTCCAAGGCATGAAAAAAAATTGAGATGAGAGTTAAATGAAGTATTTACAGAGAAATGAGTACTGGTTATTGTGGCCAAGGAAGCTTGAGAAGAGACGGTAGAAATTCAGTTGATAATCTAGAAATTGCTGTTTCCTTTTAAAATCTTGTAACATACATAGAGCTTTAAAGTTCCATGATAGTGTTCCTGTTCTCTGTGGCAGGATTGCTTGGAGGGTATTGTATGTGGTAGAAATAATATAATATTAGAATTATTATAAATTAGGCCTGTGCGAAGTAGCTAGTATTTGCTTCAGATTCGGCCAATTCGGGGGACAGTGATTTGATTTAGTGATTTTTTTTGAATTGCTGTCCTGAATCAATTGGGCTGATATATGATTCAGCTGCTGCCAAATCTCTGAATCAGCCAGGCCCAGCCTGCCCCAGCTCCTCGCTCTTAAAAAAAAAAAACAAACAGACAAAAAAACTTGACTCAGCGGGTGCTGCCATGCGGGGGTATGATCCCCACTACCCCATGCTGCATGGGGGGGCTCTGCATGAGCCCTCAGCCCTCCCCTGCTGCCTCATGCCCCCCCCGCCCATGGCTGCCCTGCTGCAGCTCCAGCCCTTTAAGAAAAAGAAAATGAAAAAACCCCCAGACCCCCCATTCTTGCCAGCAGGGGGTGATCCCTGTACCATGGGGGGGGGGGCTCTGTACAATGCCCCGATGCCACTGCAGGAGTAGAGAGTCCTGGGTTTTTCTTAAAGGGCCAGTGCTGCACTGAATGGGACAACTGTGGGGTGGGGGGGGCTCATGTAGAGCCCCACACACACAGTGGGGGCAGCAGGGATTGTGCTGCTGCCC